AGGATAGAGAAGGTCTACTTATAATTGTAATTATTACTTTACACTTATTGCTGCTCTTCAATTCATGAAACTTCAACATGTGTTTCAAAACTTGTAATTAATCATAACGTTTTTTTTCATACTGAGTGCAAACCTGTAAACAATCTTAAATTGGCACCAAAGCATAACAATAATAATACACAACATTTCTATAGCGCCCTATATTATTTGTAATATTACTATAAAGCGCTTTACAACATATAGATAATAGTATTAGTTATAATAGCTAAACAAAAAAAAAGGCTCACAATCACCATTATACATTAAGCAAGAAGATAATCATATAAATTTGCACTTAAATGAATAAATAAAGGTTGGTATATACATGACGTCTGTGTAATGAGCCTAACATGCAGACGTGAAAAGGTGAAGGGTCGAACATTTGGAAAGTTTTGAGGTATCTGGCAAAGTATGATGTTCACACACCAACAGCCTCGCATGTATGTGGTGAACGACTGGTGTTTAGATATGATGATATCAGCGGGCAAATTATTGATGCGCTGAGAAATCGAACGGTATGAAAAGTCCTCTCCCAAACACATGTAGTAAAAGGGTGATACATATTGAACGGTAAACATACAAATAATAAGTAATTATTTATGACAGTTCGACCACAAAATGTCACTCTAACACGTGATCTCACAAAAGTCCTGTTTATGTTTATTGTGATTGATCACCTTCGCCACGTTAAGTATTTCTCGCACGTGCATCAGGCTACAATGATACGTTGTCGTTACATTTTTTTCTAACATGTCTCTTTTTATATCTTTTATTTGATTGATGCAACGATTTTTTTAACTATTAAAATACTCGATTCCGCCATTTCAAAAACATCTCGCCTGACTCACTTATCAAATCTAGCACGATTTCGACCGCCAATTGCTAACATGTTGCTCAAGTTGACTCACGCATTCTTTGTTGGCGTGAAAACACGATTCGTACTCGTTCTGACCGCACACGGCGTGTTTGGAAACACTTTAACACTTCAATTATCCCAGCTATCTAACACATGTACAGAATAATCCACTATATACGGACATTTATCCTCAGCTAGCATGCCCGTATGTATAGGACATTTTGAAACAAGAATGCTTTTATGGAACGAATATTGTAAAGCAACCATTCAATTTTACACCATTTTACAAACCGACTTTCCCCGTCCTTACAAATTAACCCTTTTGCAAAAATAGTCGCCGGCATGAGGAGTGGAGAAGTCATACTGCCGCATTTCAGTCCATAACTGATAAATTAGGAGCGTTATTTTTTCGAGATTCACTGTAGTTAAAGACTGGCTTCCAGCTGATTTCCCAACAGGAAGTTATATAAAGGTGGAATATTCATGGATTTGATGTGTAAGTTTTAACGTTCTATTAACAGCTAAGGTAATTTTAGATCATGTATAAACGTAAGTAACAAACACGTGCGTGTGTGTGTGCCGGAGACGGGGGATGTTTATGGAAAGCCAACTTAACATTTATTCAAGGAGCAATGTCGATCCTGCATTCCAAAAAACTATTTTAGATATCTTATAAAGCATATGAGATATCTCATATAATACAAGATGCAAGATGCAAATACAAGAAGCTTTATTTAGTGTCGTATATGGCATAACATTGAAACATTAGCTCTGTGGAGCTATTTTTACGACAAACATAGGTATAACAAGAAAATGCAGCAAAGCTGCTGGACACCAAACCATTTTATGAAAATGACTTACTGACAGTCCACCAACCACGAGGGAACGGATCCTGCATACTTTAATCTATTTAATTATAATCATATAAATTGTAAATGGCATTAATTGTGTTGTTCAGAATATTCAGTTCACGCTCAATATCTAGTTGTAACTGAACGTTTTGGGCCAAATGTCAATGATTTGGTAATAATGTCATCTTCTAAGAGAGAGAGAGAGAAGCCGGGGACATAAGACGATTTACATAAACTATCATTTACACCTTTTGTCAAAATTGCAGCAATTTTTGCATATATAATTCTTTTGACAATGTCCCTATTTGACTATTTTGGATAAAATATCAACCATTTTCTAGGATAAAGGGTCAATCGTAGCCCCTCCCCCCCCCCGTCCCTTTAAATAATAGTTATTAATTCTCGAGACTGCAACGAAGACATATTTTGACTTTTCAGGCGCTAACTACCAGCCAAATGCCACCTGGCTAATATCTCCCCATGTGTGTATGACTGCGTGTGCTTTGCGCCGCTTGGGGGTTTGAAAAAACAGATTAATAACAAGGTAAAAAGCATGCTTGTAGAAAGGGTAGGATTTTGCAGCAAAAATATTTACATGGAACTACTAAGATAATCAGAAAACAGTTTGATGATAGCACATGCATGTTAAAAAGCAGGAACAGTACTAAGTATAACATAAGCATAAATCATAAGCATAAAACATATAAAAACATATCAGATTTAGCAAGCACATATTTTATATATATCACAGATGGTTAATACGATACTTTATATTGGAATGATGGAATAAAATACTCAGACAAATTAAAGTAAAGTAAGAAGCAAAATAAAAGTTTTAAAAAAAAACTCAAATAAAAATGGAGGATCAATAAAATGAAAGTCAGGAACATATAGAACACTGGCAGAGGTCACCTTCCCAGGTGTGCAACAGCCTACAGAAAACCTTGTAGTGTTCTGCTTGTCTAATCTCATTTGGTAGACTATTCCACACCTGGGCGGCTTCAAAACGAAAAGATGTCTTACCATATGTGGTATAATTTACTCTTGGTATAGTCACAGTGTCAACTTTCTTTTTGTTGATAAGACTCTTTAAGAATTCCGGAGCAATAGTATTTAAAATCTTGTATACTTCATTGGCCATGATCTTCAGCCTACATTTATGTAAAAAGTCTAATTTATTTCTAGCTAAAAGATCGTTAATAGAGGAGCTTTAATCATTATCAATAAAACGTAAAGCTCTTTCTCGTATATTTTCGATTTTTCTGGTTTTTCTAATACTGCAAAAATGCCATGAAAGAGGACAAAAATTAAAATTAGATAATATAAAAGAACTAAAAATGTTGACTTTGCCTTTTTTGTCAGATGATTTCCAATTCTCTTGAGTATACATAGTTGTTTGGAAGCCTTCCTACATAAGTTTGCTATATGATTTTCAAATTTTAGATCACTGTCAATTTCAACCTCAAGCAAAGTCACACTATCAGTTCATGTAATTTGGTGATCTCCAATAGTGAAAGATGAAATTTGCTCTTTTGAGTTCTTTCCTATGCAGATGGCCTGGAATTTTTCTGGGTTTGCCTGCATGCCATTTTTTGTGAACCAGTTAATTATTAAATTACTTTCACTTTGTAACACATCACTAAGATCAAGAGCACTATCAGTGATATGAGACAAAGTGTTGTCATCGGCATAGTTAAAAAGAGACCCACGTTTTGAGACAGTAAAAATGTCATTCATAAATACATTAAAAATAAGAGGCCCCACTATAGAGCCTTGGGGGACCCCTTACTGAGCCACCCCCAGTCGCTGACCATGGGGCCAAGCCTGACCCGCTGCTGTCTGTCGTTGAGGTAACTACTGACAAGTGCAACTGCTGACCCATCTATCCCATAGGCTTGCAGCAACCCCTACAACAGACCATGGGGGAGGCAGTCTAAAGCCTTGGGCAAGTCCATTAGGATGGCTCCTATGTGCTTGTGGTTGACCAGGTCTTGACGCCAATCCTCCAGGAGCGCAGCAGGACAGACTGACACCCATAGCCCCGCCTGAATGCGGCCAGGAAGGGGTTAAAAATATCATTAAAAAACTAACTTAACAGTTATTCAAGGAGCAATGTCGATCCTGTATTTCATCGAATTATATCATATACAATATATATATCTTATATATTATATATATATTATATTACTATACTATTTTTAAGACAAAAAATGCTTTTCAATAAAATACAAATCTCAGAAAACAGCCAAAAATTGGTAAGCATACAGCGTACAGAGAAATTTGGTTATTAAAATTAAACGTCAGTCAATAAGAAATTATTTTCTTGAAAGATGTGGAGGAGGTCCTAACTCTAAGGATTTTTGGCCAACTGTAAAGCCCTTCATCTCTAACAAATGTAAACACGACTTAAATACAGTTTTGACAGAAATGACAGCATCATTACTAATTAGAGAGATGTTTGTACAGTGTTTAACGATTATTTTTGTAATGTGGCCAAACACATAGGTACAGAGGTGGATGGAGTCTCTGACCACTCCTCTAACCCTAGCATACAGACTATCAAAAATGAAATTTTATCCGAACCAAAATCTTTCACTTTTAAATCTGTACTTCCAAATACTGTTAAAGATGTGATAAGGAAGCAGGCTACAAGAAAATCTGTCGGTGTTGATGGTATCTCTGCAAAAATGTTGAAAGCTGGCTCCGAATCCTTATGTCAACCACTCACCAATATTTTTAACTGTTGCATTGCTGAAGGAAGATTTCCACACTCACTTAAACTAGCTCAGGTAACACCAAAATCCACAGGGAGTTGAGAAAGATATTGGCTGGGTGCAAAGGCCCTATAACCACGGATAATAATTTGTGAACCGCTTTGAGACGACCTACGAACTAGGTTGTGATAAAGCGGTATAAAAGAACCTCGAATTATTATCATTATAATTTGTAAAGAGAGTTTTGCCTCGGTTACAAACATTGTATTACACTGTATAATCCGTTAAATTATGCGCGTGCAATACATACCAAAATAATTATCAAAAGTAAGAAGGTGCCAATGAAGGCGTTATAAAATATCAATATCAAGAATAGAAATACAAGACAAAATGGGAAATTATAAGTCCCCAATGTCGCAGTTAGGTGACCATTATAAACTTGTTATGCTATGGCGCAGAGGGAAATCCATGGTTTAGTATAATATGGATGGTTGTATCGTCTGGTCCATCCCTCTCGACCGGGCCGGTGTGTTTGTGTCTCTAGTCCCTCCCTTTCGACCATGCCGGTGTGTTTGTGTCTCTGGTCCCTCCTTCTCGACCAGGCCGGTGTGCTTTTGTCTCTGGTCCCTCCCTCTCGACCAGGCCGGTGTTTTTGCGTCTCTGGTCCCTCCCTCTCGACCAGGCTGGTGTGCTTGTGTCTTTGGTCCCTCCCTCTCGACCAGTCCGGTGTGTTTGTGTCTTTGGTCCCTCCCTCTCGACCAGGCTGGTGTGCTTGTGTCTTTGGTCCCTCCCTCTCGACCAGTCCGGTGTGTTTGTGTCTTTGGTCCCTCCCTCTCGACCAGGCCGGTTTTTTTGTGTCTCTGGTCCCTCCCTCTCGACCAGTCCGGTGTGTTTGTGTCTTTGGTCCCTCCCTCTCGCCCAGGCCGGTGTGTTTGTGTCTCTGGTCCCTACCTCTCGACCAGGCCGGTGTGTTTGTGTCGCTGGTCCCTCCCTCTCGACCAGGCCGGTGCGTTTGTGTCTCTGGTCCCTCCCTCTCGACCAGGCCGGTGTTTTTGCGTCTCTGGTCCCTCCCTCTCGACCAGGCTGGTGTGCTTGTGTCTTTGGTCCCTCCCTCTCGACCAGTCCGGTGTGTTTGTGTCTTTGGTCCCTCCCTCTCGCCCAGGCCGGTGTGTTTGTGTCTCTGGTCCCTCCCTCTCGACCAGTCCGGTGTGTTTGTGTCTTTGGTCCCTCCCTCTCGACCAGGCTGGTGTGCTTGTGTCTTTGGTCCCTCCCTCTCGACCAGGCCGGTGTTTTTGTGTCTTTGGTCCCTCCCTCTCGACCAGTCCGGTGTGTTTGTGTCTTTGGTCCCTCCCTCTCGCCCAGGCCGGTGTGTTTGTGTCTCTGGTCCCTCACTCTCGACCAGGCCGGTGTGTTTGTGTCTTTGGTCCCTCCCTCTCGCCCAGGCCGGTGTGTTTGTGTCTCTGGTCCCTCACTCTCGACCAGGCCGGTGTGTTTGTGTCTCTGGGCCCTCCCTCTCGACCAGGCCGGTGTGTTTGTGGCTCTGGTCCCTCCCTCGCGACCAGGCCGGTGTGTTTGTGTCTTTGGTCCCTCCCTCTCGCCCAGGCCGGTGTGTTTGTGTCTCTGGTCCCTCCCTCTCGACCAGGCCGGTGTGTTTGTGTCTATCCAGCATAACTCTTGTTCACGCGCAATCCCGTACCACAGCTACGTGGCAATCCATGGGGTTTTCCCATTGAACATCAAATGTAATTCACGAGTGCAGGCGACTTTTTTTCCCATCACGAGTTTGTTTGTTACATTTCGAGGTTTCGTATTTTGTGTTCGCTGTTCACATTACTCAGTCACAGCTGATGAAAGCCAGGTACAAGGCTTGTTTTAATCAATATGCCATCAAATTTAGTTCCATAAAATTATATATTCCAAAAGACATTTATCGACTTAATTATTAGACAAACTGTATTAAAAATATAAATTCTTATTTAATTGATTCTTTTATAGCACTGTTTAAATGAAATGGAAGATTTTATTATTTCAGTGACAAAAACGTTCTAAATGTTCCGTAAATACCGCAAATGAAATAAAACTCAAAATTTAGCATGAGACAGTCATACTTAGCTTCATAGAGCTACTATTGAGTAGCGAAACTTGTATATGTTATTCTTTCCGTGCTGCTAGTTGTAAGTATATATCGGCATTATGGTACAACTTACAACCAATCTGGGAAATAATATATAATGCATTTTTTGCGTTTTATTAAACTACTTTTGATACATTATAATCACAGGAACGTACTAATAATGCTTAATATCAACGGAAAGGTATGTTCTATACAAACGCATATAGTAATGTAAAGAATTATCACTTATTTAAGTTACACTATTATTGGTTGACCCCTATGTTTTCGACTCAGACCTCAACATAGCTGAGTTAACCTGCAACTTCTCCGCCCAAACTGAATCATCTGAAAAGGGGAATAACTCCGTGTCATCATAGATAATTTACACACTGTATTTGTTATTCTGACCCGTATTAGACTGTAAGTAAAGGATTTCCGGAAGAAATTTACAGAGGTCCCGTTTTACCAACGAAAGCAAACACTGACTTGGCCTCGCCGCGTCGTGTTAGGTCTTAACGTTACAGCTAGCTACACTGAAGAATCTATCAAATCGCTGACTTTGTGAATTATTGCCGTAATTTGTGATTATGAGTGAAATGTATCGGTACATTGGTTTATTAAATTAGTCACCATTTCCTGTGTTATCACTACCTACATCAGTGACAAAGCCACCATAAACCAACAATTTTCTAGGGTTTTAAAGATTGAAGATTTATTGCACATTTTGCTCCCTACTGAGTTAAAGGTCCTGTTGTAACCTGATACAGCGCGTTAGTCATTGTCCCTAACTGTATCGCACCGTCTACAAAATCGTCACACTCTCTGTCGTGTATTTTTTTATCTACTACGATCTGTTAGTCGTATATCTTACTGATTAACATTCTCTAGAGATGAACGTTCGGTATGCTGCAATGTAAGGCACCATCAATGAACTTTTCCTTCGATTATAATAGGATGTCCTTCTTGTACAGATCTGTATGTCTGTCTGTCTGTCTGTCTGACTGTATGTCGCCCCTCTCTCTTTCTATCTTTCTGCGCTGCCCATATATCTGTCTGTTGCCCCCTCTCCCTCTATGTGGCCCATGTATCTGTCCGTGTAATAACTGTCTTGTTTGTGTTTCTGTTTCTATCTCCGTCTTTCTTTCTCACTGTTTCTATCTCTGTCTTTCTTTGTCACTGTTTCTATCTCCGTCTTTCTGTGTCACTGTTTCTATCTCTGTCTGTCTATGTCACTGTTTCTATCTTCGTCTTTCTGTGTCACGGTTTCTATTTCTGTCTGTCTGTGTCACTGTTTCTATCTCCGTCTGTCTGTGTCACTGTTTCTATCTCTGTCTTTCTGTGTCACTGTTTCTATCCTTGTTTGTCTGTGTTACTCTTTCTATCTCTGTCTGTCTATGTCACTGTTTCTATCTTCGTCTTTCTGTGTCACGGTTTCTATTTCTGTCTGTCTGTGTCACTGTTTCTATCTCCGTCTGTCTGTGTCACTGTTTCTATCTCTGTCTGTCTGTGTGACTGTTTCTATCTCCGTTTTCTGTGTCACTGTTTCTATCTCTGTCTGTCTGTGCCACGGTTTCTATCTCTGTCTGTCTGTGTCACTGTTTCAATCTCTGTCTGTCTGTGTCACTGTTTCTATCCCTGTCTTTCTGTGTCACTGTTTCTATCTCTGTCTTTCCGTGTCACTGTTTCTATCTCTGTCTGTCTGTGTCACTGTTTCTCTCTCTGTCTGTCTGTGTCACTGTTTCTATCTCTGTCTTTCGGTGTCACTGTTTCTATCTCTGTCTGTCTGTGTCAGTGTTTCTATCTCTGTCTGTCTGTGTCACTGTTTATATCCTTGTCTGTCTGTGTCACTGTTTCTATCTCTGTCCGTCTGTGTCTCTGTTTCTATCCTTGTCTGTCTGTGTCACTGTTTCTAGCTCTGTCTGTCTGTGTCACTGTTTCTATCTCGGTCTGTCTGTGTCACTGTTTCTATCTCTGTCCGTCTGTGTCTCTGTTTCTATCCTTGTCTGTCTGTGTCACTGTTTCTAGCTCTGTCTGTCTGTGTCACTGTTTCTATCTCGGTCTGTCTGTGTCACTGTTTCTATCTCTGTCTTTCGGTGTCACTGTTTCTATCTCTGTCTGTCTGTGCCACGGTTTCTCTCTCTGTCTGTCTGTGTCACGGTTTCTATCTCTGTGTCACTGTTTCTATCTCTGTCTGTCTGTGCCACGGTTTCTCTCTCTGTCTGTCTGTGTCACGGTTTCTATCTCTGTCTGCCTGTGTCACTGTTTCTATCTCTGTCTGTCTGTGCCACGGTTTCTATCTCTGTCTGTCTGTGTCACTGTTTTTATCTCTGTCTTTCTGTTTCACTGTTTCTATCTCTGTCTTTGTCACTGTTTCTATCTCTGTCTGTCTGTGTGACTGTTTCTATCTCCGTTTTCTGTGTCACTGTTTCTATCTCTGTCTGTCTATGTCACTGTTTCTATCTTCGTCTTTCTGTGTCACGGTTTCTATTTCTGTCTGTCTGTGTCACTGTTTCTATCTCCGTCTGTCTGTGTCACTGTTTCTATCTCTGTCTTTCTGTGTCACTGTTTCTATCCTTGTCTGTCTGTCTGTGTCACTGTTTCTATATCTGTCTTTCTTTGTCACTGTTTCTATCTCGGTCTGTCTGTGTCACGGTTTCTATCTCTGTCTGTCTTTGTCGCTGTTTCTATCTCTGTCTGTCTGTGTCACTGTTTTTTTCTCTGTCTGTCTGTGTGACTGTTTCTATCTCTGTCTGTCTGTGTCACTGTTTCTCTCTCTGTCTGTCTGTGTCACTGTTTCTATCTCGGTCTGTCTGTGTCACTGTTTCTATCTCTGTCCGTTTGTGTCACTGTTTCTATCTCTGTCTGTCTGTGCCACGGTTTCTCTCTCTGTCTGTCTGTGTCACGGTTTCTATCTCTGTCTGTGTGTGTCACTGTTTCTATATCTGTCTTTCTGTGTCACTGTTTCTATCTCTGTCTGTCTATGTCACTGTTTCTATCTCTATCTGTCTGTGTCACTGTTTCTATCTCTGTCTGTCTGTGCCACGGTTTCTCTCTCTGTCTGTCTGTGTCACGGTTTCTATCTCTGTCTGCCTGTGTCACTGTTTCTATCTCTGTCTGTCTGTGTGACTGTTTCTATCTCCGTTTTCTGTGTCACTGTTTCTATCTCTGTCTGTCTATGTCACTGTTTCTATCTCTATCTGTCTGTGTCACTGTTTCTATCTCTGTCTTTCTGTGTCACTGTTTCTATCCTTGTCTGTCTGTGTCACTGATTCTATCTCTGTCTGTCTGTGTCACTGTTTCTATCCCTGTCTTTCTGTGTCACTGTTTCTATCTCTGTCTTTCTGTGTCACTGTTTCTATCCTTGTTTGTCTGTGTCACTCTTTCTATCTCTGTCTGTCTATGTCACTGTTTCTATCTTCGTCTTTCTGTGTCACGGTTTCTATTTCTGTCTGTCTGTGTCACTGTTTCTATCTCCGTCTGTCTGTGTCACTGTTTCTATCTCTGTCTGTGTCACGGTTTCTATCTCTGTCTGCCTGTGTCACTGTTTCTATCTCTGTCTGTCTGTGTGACTGTTTCTATCTCTGTCCGTCTGTGTCTCTGTTTCTATCCTTGTCTGTCTGTGTCACTGATTCTATCTCTGTCTGTCTGTGTCACTGTTTCAATCTCTGTCTGTCTGTGTCACTGTTTCTATCCTTGTCTGTCTGTCTGTGTCACTGTTTCTATATCTGTCTGTCTGTGTCAGTGTTTCTATCTCTGTCTGTCTGTGTCACTGTTTATATCCTTGTCTGTCTGTGTCACTGTTTCTATCTCTGTCTTTCGGTGTCACTGTTTCTATCTCTGTCTGTCTGTGCCACGGTTTCTATCTCTGTCTGTCTGTGTCACTGTTTCTATCTCTGTCCGTCTGTGTCACTGTTTTTATCTCTGTCTGTCTGTGTGACTGTTTCTATCTCTGTCCGTCTGTGTCACTGTTTCTATCCTTGTCTGTCTGTGTCACTGTTTCTATCTCTGTCTGTCTGTGTCACTGTTTCTATCTCTGTCTGTCTGTGTCACTGTTTCTATCTCTGTCTGTCTGTTTCACTCTTTCTATCTTTGTCTTTCTGTGTCACTGTTTCTATCTCTGTCTGTCTGTGTCACTGTTTCTATCTCTGTCTTTCTGTGTCACTGTTTCTATCTCTGTCTGTCTGTGTCACTGTTTCTATCTCTGTCTGTCTGTGTCACTGTTTCTATCTCTGTCTGTCTGTGTCACTGTTTCTATCTCTGTCTGTCTGTGTCACTGTTTCTATTTCTGTCTGTCTGTGTCACTGTTCTATTTCTGTCTGTCTGTTTCACTGTTTCTATATCTGTCTGTCTGTGTCACTGTTTCTATCTCTGTCTGTCTGTGTCACTGTTTCTATCTCTGTCTGTCTGTGTCACTGTTTCTATCTCTGTCTGTCTGTGTCACTGTTTCTATCTCTGTCTGTCTGTGTCACTGTTTTTATCTCTGTCTGTCTGTGTCACTGTTTCTTTCTCCGTAATGTCTGTCTGTCTGTGTCTGCTTGTTTTCTCTTTCTTCCTCTCTGCTGCCCATCCATCCTTGTATAACTATTCT